ATATTTTTTTTTTTTTTTTTCAATGTTAAAACACTTTTTCCAATCCTAGCCTAATAGGCAGAGATGAAAAGTATAAACATTGCTCTGTTTGTTTATGCATTCCAACCAGTTTGAACCAGCAAAAGTGAATCAACCAATCGTGTGAGTTTAGGGCGGAGCAATCTGTTTGCTCGACCAATAGCTAATGTGGAAACCTATAAGAAAAGAGTCATTATTTGTGATGCAGAAATTACACATTTCAGTTTTAAATCCAGAGCTTTTTTGTTCAAACAAGGTAATAACGCAGCTTATTTTTAATGTTTAGCTGTACAAAAGCAGTCAGTTATGCTGCTTCATGTTGCAATCAGGTATTTGTTTTTATTTTATTTCAATTTATTATAAAAATCATAAAAACACCAGTTTGCAGCAAAAATAGTTATACGATTTATTGCACTTGTTATTTTTCTAATTATTCACTTAAAGCAGCAATATGAATCAGAACTCTGGCACATTCACAGGAAACAGCTTACTTCCGCGTTGCACAATAAAGGGATAGTTTGAAGCTCTAGGTCAGAGGTCGGGAAGAGGTCGCCAGATCTCTCACCCTTTGCTAACAAATTATCTATTACACAAATTAGACATCACTAGAGATCAGCAATTCCTTTGTTGTAGAGCCTACATAAGCTCTACATATACATGTAAAATAATAATACATTTTCCGTACCGGCCAAAGTGCGAGTTCAGTGCGCGTTCAGAGCTGTTTGCGAGAGTCACGAGCAAACCATTGACGTTTCTATGGTAACGTACAGCTCCTGCACTCAGATTCGTAGCTTTGTGGTAATAGCGAAAAGAAAGATTTTTTGAACAGCAGAAAAAGTGTAAAAGTATGTAAAAAAAAAAAAAAAAGTGACAGGACTGCAACATATACTTTGTTTTATATGTTTTATACTTTGAAACATTTCGCCGGTTACTTTCGCTCAGTGTTCGAACTATACCGTGGACTTTGGGGGAGCCCACTTGTTTTGTTCTAGGTGGTAGCCTGCACTCCTCAGCACCCCAAGATTCAGACTCATTAAATTTCCAATATGCCATCTTGCTCTCTTATTAACTTTGTTAATAAGTGTTAATACCCAGTGATAATACCCAGAGTCATGGCAGAGTCATGGCAACTGTCATGGCTGAGTGGACAGAAGTGATCTCCAAGCACCAGGCTGCCATATTAAACATCTACTCTCTGTCCAAAACAGAATTGAGAATGAAGACGAGCTATTTTTTTTTTCTGCTCTGCCCTAATAGACAAGATATGTCTCACTTGCGGGCATCATCGGTGTAAAGATCATTACACTGAACTGTACATTCAGGCACTATTACTTTAGGATGTAAAATTCAAGACACAAAAATAATCACTTATTTTTTTCAGTTTGTTCCATTTACAGCGCATTTATACTGACAAGCAGCTTCTGATGGAGCGTTTTACAATGTGTATTATCACGTACAATAGTAGCGATGTTCTCTCCTGTTTCATCTGAGGATGAACCTTAAAGTTGAACATATATAGACTGTACAGACACTAGAAATGTAAAAAGTTAATACCAAGTCAACACTAAAGTAAAAAAATATAAAACCACAGCAGTGCCTGGTCCCCATCCACTTTCACTGTATAAAAGCAGTGTTCTATTAAATATTTTATTCCATTCAAGAAAGCTAGTTTGCTGTAAGACTGCTGTAAGAAATTAGAACTTGCTTAAGTACTGTTTACTTCAGTTTTAATAAAAAAATAAAAAATAAAAAAAAACTGAGGAAACATTTCTTAATTGGGAAAATAAGACAAAATGTCACTGCTTTAATTTAATTTGTCAATATACTGAATAGATATTACTAGTATTGGTATTTTGACAACCCCAAAAGATGTACCAAATAACAGGAATCTAGTACTGGAGAAAAGTGTAATATGTGTTTTCAAAAATGACATAATTGGGTCAAATAAGCTCAAATTCAACTTCCATCAAGAAATGGATCCTCAGCAAAAAGGTTTTGGAGTGGCACTATACAGATGATATTTGAACTCCAGTGAAAGCGAGCACTGCACTTCCTCAGATGACTCATCTCTATCACCGTAGGAGAGTTCAGCAGGATGTAGCTCTCGGGGGAGATGGAGTCTAAAGTTCAGTATCTGGGTATTAAAGGAAGAGTGAGGCACGACCTGAGCTCCCTCCGCTGAGCTCAGACTGATGAGGGTTTAGCCATTTGGCCTGGATCAGCAGGTCAGGCCTGTACAGGTGATGAGCCCTCTGCCCAACACAGCCCTCGACACGCAAGGTCAGCAACCAACCGCCACCACTAATACCTGATTCCCAGAGGAATCCAGCAGGTAAAGGCCACGGCCATCCAGCACAAGCAGGAAGCGATCTAAAGAAGCAAACCTCTTTCCATCTTCCTAAATTGAATGATGGAAATGGCTTAATGCAGTTTAACCTTCCTGATGAACGCCTTCAAAGTCCGAGGTCTCAAATCGGGATTGTACGGCATTCAGAGAGGCTTCTGGATAAGGGAAAAGCTTAACCAGGACCGATCGAATAAATTAGGCCGTAAGAACACAGAAAATGCAAAACAGGCCCTCGCATTGTCTGAATTAAACATTATTTTTGTCCATCAGCAGAAGGATGGGGCTGCTTTAATTAAGTTAAGAGTTGCCTGAGAGACAGTTTAACAGGAGGGCATTAAAGAATACCATAAACAAACAAAAGAAGTGGACAGATAATCCATAAGCAATTAATTAGGGGAAGAACTGTGTGGCTTCCGCACATATCAGTCACATTGAATAATTGCTGGAAAACAGAGAGATATTTATACACTGTCCCAGGTTAACAAGTCTGTACAAGGAGAGGAGGAATGAGATGAGACAGGCTCCCCTCCCTCTCACCGTCCTTCTCTCTCTACCAACTAAGACGCCGCAGCAGCTCACATGATGGTTGATAGTGATTTGCTATGCGTGATCTTTACTATTCAAGATATATTAGCTAAACCATCTGGAAGGTCAGGGAGGTAATGGCTATTGTATATTTTATGAAGGAAGCTGCAGTTAATCAAATGGTTGAAGGTGATTTTTGTGAGGGAGCATATCATGGTTTTGTTCCAAACCCTAGCGAGCTTCCTTGCTGTCTATACTGTATACGCAGACAACATCCTAACCAAAATGGAGTCTAACCAAAAATTAGCTTGAAATGTATATGACAATAAAATAAAATAAAGTAAAATAAAATCTGTCAATATTTAGCAAGTTAAGAGTACTTACCGGGGGTGGATTTTTAATCAGACAAAATTATTATTTAAGAATACTTCACTACTGATCAAAATACAGTTATACTGTACATCTATCTGAACTCTGCCCACCATTTAATTAAACAAACAAACAAACAAACAAACAAACAGATAATCTCCCAAACTGTTCAAATACATCAGCCATTTATGTCAGCTTATGTACGAACAGCAGCTGCATTTATGTGACCTTTATGCATAAAACCCACTTCTTAAAGCTGAAGGTAGTAATTTTTCCAATATAAAAATGCTTTTTCTCATATTCAGAGAGAACTATAAGAAAGCCATTTGAAGGTTGTTTTCTGAAAAGTGTAACACTGTGGCTCTATTGTAGCAGCAAAACATTTCCAATCAGTTTGACAGCTACATTGACTCAACCAATAGTGTGAGATTGGGGCGGGGATATTTGTTTGCCCGACCAATGGCAGATAGGGGGCGTATCTGCAAAACCTGTGTGAAAACAATCACTATTTTTCTGTTTGATGCTAGAGGCACAGTACATTACACACTTAACCTTTCAAGAATAAAAGAGCAGAACTGGATTACCACAGTAATTTAGATCGTTTCCAGGAACTGGGTCAATAACAAAAGCACCGTGTGATGGATTTACCTGAATTTCCACCCCATAGCCCATGTAGACTGTCACGGTGTATGTGCAGTCCACATCCGTATTGTACCAACTCCTGGCTTGCTGTGGTGTCTCTATGTAGCCTCCCGGTGATGTGAAATTGGTGCTGCACGGAGCTGCATTAGAAAAGGTAGAGAGAGACAGAGAAAGTGTGCATCAATAGAGGCAAGCCTTTTCTCATTCTCTCAAACTCATTTCATTGCATTCCCTCCCATCTTTAATTGTCTTTCAAGGTTTTCTCATTTTCTGTCTGGATCAACAGGGTCAGTTTTCCTGCCCTGCTGTGTAGGAACACGTGGGCAATTCAGGTGAAATGGCAGGTGAGCGAATATTTTCTTGTAGCCTTGAGCTCTTTCTGCTCTGTCAGCTCCTTCATCTCCCTCTAGAGTTAAACGCTGCTGCTGTTCAAGAGATATGTTCTCGTTCCATATAAATTCATACGCTTGGCTTAGTTATTAGGGATGTGCAAAATTACATACTTTCATATTTAAACTGTCTAGTTGGCTAGTGGTCTTAAGAAAGCCCTGTATAACTAGGCTGCATCACTTCTAACGGGGCCAATCAGATCCAAGTTTCTCATTCAGGGGCGGACTTACCCATTAGGCAAAGGTAGGCGACCGCCTTGGGCCCCCAAAAGCCAAGGGCCCCCTAAAATGCTTTTCATATAGGATGTGCGCATTAAGCACGGACATAGGTGTGTAAATGTATAATTGCCTTTTCATTATTTTTTTATTTTAATTTAGTTTTATTTAAATTTGTAGTTAAAACAACTAAAAATAAATGTATTTTAAAGTTTAGAATTAGACAGCCTTTGCACACAGGCTTACGCTGAAAACAACAAAATGGAACCTCAAGGTTGATCTAGGAAAATGTGTGCAAATGTATAGGGCCCTATTCCTATATTTTGCCTGGGGCCCCCAATTCACTAAATCCGCCCCTGTTCTCATTATATGGACAATTGTGCACAAAAAATAAATAGGTTAAAGATCTTCAATAATAGGGATGCACTGATATTAAAAATCTGACTGATACCAATAAACAGATCATTAATTTTGTTATGCCAGAAATTCAAATTTGTATACTAAACTATTTAATTTAAATAAAATATAAAAACTAAAACCAGTCACAACATTTTAACAACATACAGTGTAAAAATTGGATTTGCTAAAGACATTTAAATTATTTTTAAAGATTAACATTAAGTGAGTGTTATATGATGGCTAGAAGGTAATGGAAATGTAAGGTAACAGAAAGGATCATGAACTATTATATATCCAATATTTGATGGTAACAAAAAATTATAAAAATCTCTAATATCTGCTGATAATAGATATGGTGCCAAGATATTGTGCATTCCTATTAACAGAACTTTTTAAATAGTGCTATGAAGTCAGGGGGCACTGATATGTCCAAATGTCCCCATGTAATAAATATAAAAATAATAATTAAATTAAATATAATACATATATAACAAATAAAGTACCTTAATTAAAAATAATAAATGTCCCTATATAATAAATTATAAAAATACTTAAATGTCTAAATTTAACTGAAAGTTCAATATACACAAATTGCACAAAGTATTATTCATATTCAATGACACAAACTCTTGCTTTCAAAAATAATTTCATAAATTAATAATATCATATTGTTTTCAAGCTTTTGTTCTGTGACTTTAAAGGGACAAACATGTAGCCTGTATTCATTTTAAAAATGCATTTTTGTAAACATTAAAAGGCTAACTTATGTTATATGGGGTTTCTGACCCCTGATTTTATTGCACACAACTATCAAAGACCTCATGTAAGAAGGCAGCAAATGCAGTGGTATAAAACTACTTATCCAACTGACATCTCAAAACCCACATCTTTAGGCACAAGCAGGGCAGGTAAACCTCTGAAGAGCCCTGAATTAGGCATCAGGGAGCTGTGTGAAAAATATGTAAATCTAAGTCACGCTGATCGTGTGAATGGTACCTGGTGTCTGCATGGTCGTAATAACTGTTGTGGTGATGATGGTGGAGGTGGTGGTCTCGTCATCCAAATCCCCAGACATTGATGATGCTTTTACAGCAACATCACTTCCTGGAGTGCTATGTTCTGCCTTGATTATTGAGGACTTTTCTTTGTCTCTTTTTACTGGGATTGTTGCATCTTTGGGCTTGTTGTTTAAGGTCGGAGTGACATCTCCTCTATCTGACAGTTTGGAAGCAGGTGTTGCAGATTTGTGCACATTGTGCACAGTGGTGGTCAGTGATGTTATGGTCACGGACAGGGGTGGTTCCTCTGTGCTTCTCCTCTGCGTTTCTGCTGAAGGTTTGTGTTGGATGTTGGGCACGTGTGGCTGGGTGAGGGCTGCGGCCGATGGAGCCAGTGTGGTGGTTCTGGGAGCTGCTACATCAGAGAATGGAGGCGCATCCTCTTGTGGGACCAGCTGTGTGGACGGATCCTGAAGGAGATGGGAACTAGACGATGGCATTGTGGGATGGTGAGCTGCCCCTCCGCTGTCTTGAAAATACTGCTCGTGGCTTTGTCCCCGGGGGTCGTAAGGCGGGTAGTGCTTAAAAGGCGGATGGTGGTCAAGGCCACTGTAAGGGGGAGCCGTTGTGAACAGCGGAGGGGCTCTCTCTGTGTCCTGTGTGGTGTGATATGGATTGGACCCGTCCTCTGCTTCCACCTGACCTCCTCTTTGGGTGACTGCTAACCTCCCATCCATATAAGAACCTGGAGAATACATTTAATACAAGCAGAGCTAATTATGAAATATATAGTGAGTTTAGAACAGTGATAATCTTGCCAAAAGCATAATTTCTGATGAAAATGTACATTGATGAAAGAGTTGACATTCTGAATTCATGGTAAATTCAACATCGTAAATAATCAATCACGTTCATTTCTAGCACTTTTCATGTTGACCAGGTGCTTTACGTTATAAAATCATATCAGCAACATTTATAAAACAACATATCTTAAAAAAATAAAACCACAGTTAATTCCCCCATAAGCAACTGCAAAAAGATCAGTCGCTAAAACACAGAAAATCAATAACTAAAGCATGAAGCAACACAGAAACCTCAAAGCAAATAGATAGTACTTAGTATACTCAAGCTACAAGTTTTTGTTTTGAAATGTGTTTTGTAACTGTTAGTGATATGCTCAGGTATATTTCCATAGAAGATCCATTTTAAATTCTCCAAAAACTTTTTTTGTGAACAGTTCTACATTTTTATGGAAAACTTTTTTCAACTATAAAGAAACTTTTGTGCAGTGGTAAGGTTCCATAAAGGTTCTTCATGGAAAGATAAATGCCAATAAAGAACCTTCATTTTTAGGAACTGATGGCTAATTGAAAGCACAAAAAAGGTCATACAGTTTGAAAGACATTAATCATTCATTTTCAAATAAGGAAAAAATAAGTACTGTTGTATGTTTGCTATCATGTTTGCTAAAATGTCACACATAAGTCCACGTTACTACCTATTCTTTGTAATTATTTGTGAAATTACTTGCAATTTCAGAATTTTTGAACACCATTTTTTTCAGTGTACCTATAGTCGATTGTAGGAAAAAGACTTGCAAATGCCTTCTATTCTTTACCAGCAATGAGGTAGCTTTTTATTTTGTGTGCATATTGTGAATAACTCTCTAAAGCAGGGAAAAGACAATTTATGTCCAAATATCCATAATAATATTCAAATATTTTTTGAATATTTTGGTGTGGGGACTGTGTCTCACTGCTGATGAAAGACTTGGAATGCCCGTGGTGAAAACACATGAAAAGCATTAAAAAAGGAACAGAAAAAAATGTCCTTTGTAAATAACTTGCAATTTTATGTTTCAACCAGAGATTGTTGATAGAGAGGGCAAAATGTACCTTTAAAAATGTTTAATTTAGGTAAATTCAAAGTAAAACTGACTAAAATTAATAAATATGGCAAATTTAAATGATATTTTCATAAAAAAAAAAAAAATTTAAAGCTGTAAAAATTAACACTGATTAATAACTACAATTATAACTTGAGTGTTCAAACAACTATAGTCCTTTTTTTTTTTTTTACATATTTCAAAGACAAGCACCCTCCCTTGTGTAAAGCCTTGCAACAAATTTCCTCTCTATACCACCCAAGGAGAGGAGGACTGCACCGTTTATACGGCTCGTGACGCTTTGTGGTTTAGCCCTACGAAATTGCAAAGCATTCAAACTGCGGGGTCAGAACCCCTAGCACATTAACAAAATGGAAAAGTATCCACTAAATGGATTATGATTGGAGACACTTTGAAAACGCCATGGAGCGTGTGGAGGAAAAAAGATAAACTCCTTTGCCATAATTGTTCATTTGAATGCTCTTTCTCCTCCCCTTGCCAATTAATGAGTCCAAACGTTCATCAGGCGGCACGTCGTAATGAGTGGATTTGAGAAGTGTAGCGGTGAAAATGGATCTCCCCCACCTGCACCTGGTGAGATGTAATCAGCCGGCCTTCAGGAGGCTGCTGCGTGCCGGGGAACTTGTGATTTCACAATGCTTCATTTGCACCCTAATAGCTCTCTTTCTGTTTCTCGACTTACTAATAACAAGCTGCTTCCAACAACGGAGGCTGGTGTATCTGAAGCGCATTCCCACGAAAGGAAAGGAGAGGATGATATCTCAAACCGAACGGAACTGACGGGCTATTTTTTTCCCCTTATCCTCTATGAAGTGTCAGAAGCAAAAGATACACATCGTTTCGCCAAGCGGTGATGTGTGTTTTATGAGAGATTGACTTCGCTTTGAGGGTAAAAATCACATCGACATCTAACACATCACTCAGATCCAGGCAAAATGACACATGAGAGACAAAGCAAAGGGCAGGAAGTCCTCAGTTCCTGTCATCTATTTAGAATTCAGCCATTTGTAGATCAAACCCCAAAAGCAGACAGGATTTTTTATTTTTTTTTGACGAGGACATCGAAACGCAAATAGCGTGAGCTCTAAATGTCAATCAGGTTTTGCTTTATGATTAATTTATTAGCTGTGCCCTTACATGAGTAATTATGAAATATCTGATGTCAAATTTCAAGGTTGTTAAATTAGACAGGCTGAATGTAATGAATGTGCCTAATGTTATGAGGTGAATTATTATCCATTTCACCCTGAACGCGAACATTTCTGAAAAGAACCACTGGCAGAAGTTTGTATCTTGGGAGTTCCTGACTTATAAAAAGCTTCTGAAATCACTATGCATATCACACTCAATGTCACAGGGATTTCGTGTTGAAAAAAAATCAGCATTGCCAAATGCTTCCCAGTGGAAGGTCCCATATACCCCCTACACTTCACATAACCCTAGCAGTTCATAGTCCAGGCTCCTCTAAAAACTCCAGGAAAGACCAAACAGACGTGGCGCGCTGAGGCAGGAGAGTGTTTGATTTGCTCCATTAGTGCTCGTGGAGTATAAACAGAATCTTTCAGACTGACTTCACTGTCTGTTCAAAGGTCCCTCAGTGCTGTGCTCTTCAATGGCTGGATTTGACTTTTAAATGACCATGAGCCTGCCTTAGAAGCTTTTTACACAAACCAGCGGGGGAGTGTGGGCTTTGTTTTACCCTCTATTGCATTTTCTCTTAACTTGCAAATAGGTATGTTCACTGAACTCCTATTTAAATAGTGACCCTTATGCGCGAAACACAACGAAGGAAGAATAACTGCAAATAACAGCTGGAGGGAGAAGTGGGGTGTCACTCATGTTTATGCAAAAAGTTGCCCTGAGACATCTGTAAAGAAGCACATCATTTACTAATCATTATTTATAAGAAGCTTTTATCCAAAGTGACTTACAGTACATGTATTACCTGGGCAATCCCTCTAGAGCAATCTGGGTTCTTTGCTGCTTTTACAACCTCCAAAAAACTGTCCTACTTTTGAGTTCATAAGTTGTCCCCAAGAGTTTTTGTACTTTAGGCACGCCCCAATTCGTGTACTTGTGCACTATTCTGGCCATTTTTAGAATAAATAGTGTGTTCATTCTGAAAATTCCAAAAAGGAAATATGCACTTAATTAACAGAAAAAAGAAATGTGGAATGTTGGACATTTCATGCTCTCAACTGTTGCAGCATTACTTACATGCTGGAGGGGGCGGGGCTATTCATATACTACTAGACAGTGGTGTACATAGTGCATCATTTGGGACAATATTTGTAAGCACAAATATTACACTGTGTCCTAACCAACTCTGACAGTGGTACACGACGAGTGACAGGGAATTCTATTTTGGAAAAGAGTCTCTATTTCTGTGACGTTGTGGCTGAAACAACAGCATACAAATTATGACAATGACAGTCTCAGGTACTGAGTATGTGCTTTATTTAATGTTAAAAGTATCTAATGCGACTGCGAGTTTGTTTACTATTTTGCATGACCTTTATACTGAAAGCGATAATGTATAATATACCTCAGATCTTAAAAATAAATCAAAGCAAACATAAATGTTAAAACTGTAAACTCAATTTAAACAAATGAGTGTATTCCATGACAAAGATTGTATCAGGTCACTCAGTGTGTATTTTAATAAAGTTAAAATGGTTTTATATGTATGAATTAGATTATGTACTTATTCATTTTGTGGCAAGTGCAGTGCGCTTGCAGACAGAGCCCGCCCACACTCTCTTCTGATTGGCTGTGATTTTTGACTGAATTCTCATTGAGTTGTCTCACATCTGGTGTGGACAGACAAATTGCTTATCACTGGAATCTTGTTGCGCCAAATCTGGTTAGGACACTGTGTTACAACTACACAAAAGGCTTAGAGGGATAGTTCACCCAAAAATAGAAATTCTGTCATTAATTACTCACCCTCATGTTGTTCCAAACCCGTAAGACCTTCATTTATCTTCGGAACACAAATTAAGATATTTTTGATGAAATCCAAGAACTTTCTAACCCTGCATATACAGCAACGCAACTGACACGTTCAAGGCCCAGAAAGGTAGTAAGGACATTGTTAAACATATACCCCCTGGACTTCACATAACCACAGCAGTTCATAGTCCAGGCTCTACTAAAAACTCCAGGCAAGACCAAACAGACATGGTGTGCTGAGGCAGGAGAGTGTTTGATTTGCTCCATTAGTGCTCGTGGAGTATAAACAGAATCTTTCAGACTGACTTCACTGTCTGTTCAAAGGTCCCTCAGTGCTGTGCTCTTCAATGGCTGGATTTGACTTTTAAATGACCATGAGCCTGCCTTAGAAGCTTTTTACACAAACCAGCGGGGGAGTGTGGGCTTTGTTTTACCCTCTATTGCATTTTCTCTTAACTTGCAAATAGGTATGTTCACTGAACTCCTATTTAAATAGTGACCCTTATGCGCGAAACACAACGAAGGAAGAATAACTGCAAATAACAGCTGGAGGGAGAAGTGGGGTGTCACTCATGTTTATGCAAAAAGTTGCCCTGAGACATCTGTAAAGAAGCACATCATTTACTAATCATTATTTATAAGAAGCTTTTATCCAAAGTGACTTACAGTACATGTATTACCTGGGCAATCCCTCTAGAGCAATCTGGGTTCTTTGCTGCTTTTACAACCTCCAAAAAACTGTCCTACTTTTGAGTTCATAAGTTGTCCCCAAGAGTTTTTGTACTTTAGGCACGCCCCAATTCGTGTACTTGTGCACTATTCTGGCCATTTTTAGAATAAATAGTGTGTTCATTCTGAAAATTCCAAAAAGGAAATATGCACTTAATTAACA